TTCCCAAGCCATTTCCTGAGCTCTTTCCTCCCTCATCACTGCTGCCTATGCTGTTCCTTCTCCCTCCTCTTATCCCATCTTTCAGGCCTTCCCTTATATGTGACTTCTTCAGAGAAGTCATCCCTGCTCTCTCATATCATCTTCTTGTGGTCTTAGTCCCTGTGCATAGTGGTATATTCATATTTTTTTGTTTAATGTCTGTTTTTAAATCAGTAGTTTTTAAATCTACAAATATTTTTAGTTGTAGATGAACACAATACCTTTATTTTGTTTATTTAGGTTTTTTTTTTTTTTTTTTTATGTGGTGCTGGGGATTGAACCCAGTTACTCACACATGCTAGGCAAGTGCTTTACCACTGAGCCACAATCCTAGCCCAAGTCTACTATAATTCTAAGAAACATGTCTGTTTTGTCTTTTGCTAAAAGGCACTCAAACCAGTGTTTGACATAGAGTAGATAATAAGTATTTGTTGAATTAATGAAATCTCAGAAAGCATGGGAAATCAGAGTGAAGGAAAAAAAGAAAATAGGCTGGGTGGAGGATCTTGTTAAAGAGTTTTATTTAGTATGAGAAGCAAAAGGAAGCTACTAGCAACATCTCCTCACCTATCCATGGAAATATTTACACTGGTCTTTTTGTTTGTTTTGTTTTTACAGTGCTGGGAATTGAACTCGAAGCCTCACAAGTGATAAGCAAGCACTATACCACTGAGCTACATCCCTACCCTAACTATTTATCTATATATTTATTTATAGACAGAGTCTTGCTAAATTGCCAGAACTGGCCTCTCAAACTTGCAATCTTCCTGTCTCAGTCTACTGAATTGCTGGGATTACAGGTGTGTGCCAACATGCCTGGCTTGTTTGCTTATTTATTTTTGTATTTTATTATAGYGCTAGGGAGTGAATTCAGGGCCTAGCATATGGTGGGCAAGTACTCCACCACTGAACTACACCTCCAGCCCAATTGTTGTCTTTTTAAATATRAAAATAATATATATTCATTGCAAGAAGATTGCCATTACTAAGTATTGCTACCAAGTATTGATAAGGATGTCGAACAACTAGGACTCATATGTTACTGGACTAGAATTCTTGWATATTACTGGTAAGGATACAAATTAGTTCCAACACTTTAGAAAACCATTTAGCATTATCTACAAATGCTGAACATGTACCCTAAACTTAGAAATTCCACTTTTCAGTATTTACCCCAAAGAAATAAGTGCACATGTTCACCAAAAGACTGGTCTAAGAATGTTCATGGCAACTTTATACATAAGAATCCAAAATCAGAACCAGCCAAACAAAAACACTCAAAAAATAGCAGAATGGATAAACTGTGGTATAATTATGCAATGAAATACAACACAACAATAAAAATAAGTAAATAAAATCACTACACTTGATGACATGAATGAATYTCAAAAACATCAGGAGCCAGACACAAAAGAGTACATATTATTTTATTCAATTTATATGATGTAGACAGTAGAATGAATTGGACATAACTTTCATATGTTCATATATGAATACACAACCTGTGTAACTCCACATCATGTACAACAAGAATGGAAATTTATACTCCATGTATGTATGAAATGTCAAAATACATTCTACTTTCATGTATATCTAAAAAGAACAAATTTTTAAATTATATGATGAAGTTCAAGAACCAGAAAAACTAATTTATGTTATAGAAATCAGAATTATGGTTACTTTGGAAATTTCTCTAGAGTAACACCAGGGGATTTTCTTAGGTATTGGAAAGTGTCTCTGTCTTATTTATGTATTTTTTTAAGTTGTAGATGGATAGAGTATCTTCATTTTATTTATTTTTGTGTGGTGCTGAGGATCAAACCCAGTGCTTCACACATGCTAGGCAAGTGCTCTACCACTGAGCTACAACTCCAGCCCCTCTCTGACTTGTTTTGAGTGGTGATTGCATAGATCTATWTGTAAAAATTTGTCAAGGTGTGCACTTGGGCTGGGATTGTGGCTCAGTAATAGAGTGCTCACCTAGCACATGTAAGGCACTAGGTTTGATCCTCAGCACCAAATAAAAATAAATAAGTAAAGTGATTGTATTCATCTACAACCAAAAAAAAAAAAAAGATTTTTGTACTTTAGTGCTGGTGCTGGGATGTAGCTCTGTGGTAGAGCAGTTGCCTGGTGTGCATGAGGCCCTAGATTTGCTCCCAGCCCTTAAGGGAGGAAAAAAAGAGCTGGGCATGGTAGCACACCTATAATCCAGCAACTTCAGAGGCTGAAGCAGGAGAGTTACAAGTTTAAATACATCCTGTATAATTTAATAAGACCCTGCCCAAAAATAAAAAAATAAAAAGGGCTGGTGATGTAGCTTAGTGGTAAAGCATACCTGGGTTCAATTACCTGATTGATCATCACACATTCTATATACGTATGTTGAAATGTCACAACTCATAAATATGTACAATTAGGGGCTGTGGCTGTGGCTCAATGGCAGAGTGCTTGCCTAACATGTGTGAAGCACTGAGTTTGATCCTTAGCACTGTATACAAAAATAAATAAAGGTATTCTATCCATCTACAACTACGAAGAATAAATAAATAAATAAATATGTACAATTACTATGTGTGAATTAAAAATTTTTTAAAAGTTGGGGGGGCAGGGGTACAGCTTTGTGGTAAAGTGCTTTTGTAGTATGTGCAAGATCCTGGCTTTCATCCCAAGCCCCCAAAATACATATCTATACGTGTGTGTGTGTGTGTGTGTGTGTGTGTGTTTAAAATAAGTCAAATGATAAGCTGGGTTGTAGCTCAGTGGTAGAGCACTTGCATAAAATGTGTGAGGCCCTGGGTTCAATCCCCAACACCACCACACATACACACAAAAAGTCAAACAATGATAAGTGTATTATATCCCAATGAAAAATGAAACAAAAGTAACATAGGTTCTTGAGCTATTTAAGCAATGAAGAAGTGTATACAATGTAAGTTTTCCTTTTCCCATAGAAAACTTTGATTCCCATTAACTCTGTGTCTCCCTGAGCTTCTCTGATCATATATGTTCTTTTAAACTATCCCAGATATCCATGTCATGCAGAGTCTTTAATTTATTTAGGTGCAACGCCAACCAAGTCACATAGACTTAAGAGTTTCTGTCTTCATGTGACAAAGTTCAATAGCAATACTGTGTCCCTTGTTCACATAGAGAGCAGTAGGAAATACAGATGAGTAAGTCACAACTGGTGTGCTCAAAGAATTTACAGTCCAAAGGGACAGACTAGACTGTAGATCAAACAAGCCCAAGAGCTGTCATACCATGCCATGTAGTGTTTTAGAGGACCAATAAAATGGGTTCAAACTATTGTACAGATAATGATGCTTTATAATTGTATAGACGTTACAGTTTTCAAAGTTTTTTTTCTTTTTACATATAAGCTCACAATTAAACTTAACCCTATTAAGTAGTTATTATAATTTTTTTTCTTTTTTGAGACAGGATCTTGCTGTGTGGCCCAGGCTGTCCTGGAATTCCTAAGGCTCAAGCAATCCTCCTGCCTCAGACTTCCTAGTAGCTGGCACTAAAGTGAGGTCTCAGGGCTCTATCTTCCTTTTATAAGAAATGAAGTTAAATTGCTTGCCCAGACTATTGGCGAAAGAGCTGGGATTAAGACCCAAGCATTCTGACTCCTAACCCATGGGCAAGCTGATACAATCGGAGCTCTGCTGGCCAGGCAAATGATAATGCCAGGTCCCAAAAAGCAAGATTCTGTGAGCAGCGCCTCCAGGAGTGAGCAAGTTCCAAGTAACCTCTTTAAAAAGTGTGCACCCTGGTCTACAGCCACTTGGTAGTGGRGACTTAAGGAACAATTTCAGGAGGGAAGCAGTCTCCACTTCCTGTCTCTTTACCTATAATTCATCTACCTCAAGCTCATCAGACACTACCAAATGTGGAGCTGGAGCTGGAAGGTAAGAGGCCAGCAGAGTAGACTGACAGCTGGCTGCCTCTATGAAATCCACATTCACTGAATCTACAGAACCTCCCTCTGCCCCAAAGCTTCTCTCATTCTTTTTCTTTTCCTTGGTTTTCCTCTTCCATTTGCCCAGTATTACTCCAACCTGCTTTCCCTTGACCCCTAAATCTGTCCGTTCTTAGCCCAAACCTACCTTCAAAAGCCAATAAGTAAATCAAACCTTTCTCACTCCCACAGCCACCAGAGCAGAAGTTTTTTTTTTTTTTTTTTTTTTTTTTTTTCCTATTCCACTAAACTTTTGTCTTTCTTTTCACATTTCCTTGTCTACTTGAACAAGAAGGCCCGGAAGTTATCTTTAGACAACACAGCTCACTACAGCTCCTGGGGTAAAGGTAGGAGGGTGGAGGGACCTGGATCCCCTCCTTGATTTGGAGCTGGGGGCACAGCTGCTTTGGTGGTTCCACGATGGCTTGGCTGAGTTTGATTCCCTCTCTCTTCTGGGGTTGGGGAATAGACATAAACTTGACTTTCCCCGTTAAGGGTGGCTGACTACCTAGAAAGGAAAGGAAGCGGCTGAAAGTCACTGCCTTCACCACCCCAACCCTCATTTGAAGGGAGGGTGGCATAGGGTCMCCAGTCAGAACTTCCCTGCTCCTACTCTCATGTTCCAAAATGAAACGACCTCAAGCTGCACTCGGAGGCGGCTGACTAACTAGTCCTACCGACCCCCTATTCTTGTCCTAGGAGAGAACCTCTGGGATCTCCTGACCTGGTTCGGGGAGGAGGATTCGCTCCCCATCACGGTGCCTCGATCCCGGGTCCCCAGATCCCCTCCCTTCTCTGACCGCCGCCCCCGGCGGTTGGCGCGGGCGGTGCAGCATGCGGCAAAGCTCTTTGCATAAATTATGCTCATGACGCAGCAGCTAAAAAAATCCAAGTAGCAGAAGGAGGGAAAAAARGGGGGGGGAGGGAAAAGGGGGGGCCGTTACAAAGGGGGAAAGAAGAAAAATATATACCTGACCGCCCCCCCCTTCCCCTTCCCGCTTCCCTGCCGTCCCCCTCCTCCCAGCGCAGCCCACAGAGCCCCCTTCGGCTCTGCCCAGCCCCGGCTTGGGGGCCCGGGGGCGGCGGCGGGTCCCGACCGGCTCCCGGGCCGAGCTGAGCCCAGCCAAGCCGCACTGGCTTCTTTGTCTGCGGGCGGCGGCCGCCCTGGCCCCGGCCCGGGTCCCCTGGCCCGGGCTGTGAGATGAATCTCTAATCGGTGGCCGCCGGGCACCCGGGGCGAAGGCGGCTCGGGCTCCGGTAAGTAGCGGGGTCCGGGGCGGGGAGGGGTTTGCACGGAGGGGGAGGGGGCCGGGCAGGGGAGGTTTCGGGTTTGGTTAATATGCAATGCCCGTAATTAGCATAATTTATATATTTATGATAAAGAGAGAAAAAGCCGCGGGGCCGGGGCGGCGGGATGGCGGGCCAGGGCTGCGGGGAGCTCCGGGAGTGGGACGGCGCGCAGCTGCCCACCTGGGGCCGCAGACCCCGGGCCGCGCCCTCRGCCGCCGGCGGGCAGACTCGGACCCAGCGGGGAGGGGCGGCCGCCAGGTGGACCCGGTGGGAAACCTGGCCCTGGCCGCTCCGGGTTTCTGTCCCCGAAGCCCTGGTCGGGAATGAACCACCGATTCCGCCCCACAGGAGAACCCKGGTGCCTGGGTTCCTGGTTACTAGGGCCAGCTGAGGCGGCCAGGGCGATCTGTCACAATTCACCCGCACGAACCTACGAGAGAACTTGTGGGACTCGGGGCTAGAGACCTGGGTGTTGCTGGAAGGTGGGGATGTGGTAGGAGGGTCACCATCGAGCACAGCATGAGCACTTCATAAATATTTAATCACAATATTATTATTAATAATAGTCATAATAATGGGCCCAATATGTGCTCCCTAGGCATTCGCATCTGACAAGGCCAAGGGAGCTCTACGTGCTTTCTAACCGCCACTTTAAACATTGAGATTACACTCTGGACTGTGATTGTAAACCTAAAACATTCACAGAATAACCTGGAAAGGGGGAAATAAAAAGGGGTCAAGAAGCTTTCCTGGGCCAAAGACAACCGGCTCTTTGCAGAGATTTTATCCTCATCTGCTCCTCCCAATACCTTGTTCCCAAAGTAGAAGGCTGGTCTTCAGTTGCTCACACACATTTATCCCTCCTCCACTTATCTCGGTAATTTAAAGCAGCCAATATTGACTGGCCTAGGCCTTCTGAGGAAAAATTCCACCTATTTCATTTTGATTGAAGTCCTGGTGCTCAAGATGATGCTTCTGTGACCTGGAACTTCTTTGCATATCTGCTGTAGAACTTCGCTCATTCTTCCATTGGTTCAACAAAATATTCACCAAGGGCCGTACTAAGGTCAATTTAGATAAAGCTTCTTCTGCGTAGTTTTTCCTTCTGGGATGACCAGTAGATCGTAAACATTAAAACAAGATAATACTGGAGAAAGAGACAGAGGGTTGGGGGAAGCTATTCTCTTTTCTTCCTGGGGGTACTGCCTGGCAATTAAGAAAATAGGATTGGGGATGTACTTTAGTGTTAAAGCATATAGCATGTGCAAAGCCCTGAGTTCAATCCCCAGCCAACCAAAACCCAAACAAAACAAATTATCTATCTATATCTGTCCCCCCATGTGTGTGTGTATATATGTATGTATATATTATATATATATGTGTGTGTGTGTGTATGTGTGTGTGTGTGTAAGAAAGTGAGCCAAAAAAATATTGCTTTTCCAAGGATGCTCTGTTTTAAGAAAAAATCTGGGATAAGATAATAAGATTTAATCACAATAAAATTATAATTGCGGGCGAGGGGGGGTTGTAGCTCAGTGGTAAAGTGCTTGCCTAGCACATATGAGATATTGGGTTCAATCCTTAGCACCACGTAAAAATAAATAAAGTTAAATGTCCATCTACAACTAAAAAAAATTATTAAAAAATTATAATAGGGCTGGGGATGTGGCTCAAGCAGTAGCGTGCTCGATCCTCAGCACCACATACAAATAAAATAAAGATGTTGTGTCCACCAAAAATTAAATATATATATATATATATATATATATATATATAAATTCTCTCTCTCTCTTTAAAAAAATTATAATAGTTGTAATAGGGATGTGGCTTAGTGATGAAGCATATGCTTAGCATTGCAAGGATCTGAGTTTAACCATCACCCCCAGTACCATAAATAAAAATAATTAACTAATTATAATTGTAATCTTTTTCATTTTTTATGATGCTTTACAATTTAAAACATTTTTTTTTCAGTACTGGAGTCTGAACCCAGGACCTTGATCATTCTAAGTAAGCACTCTACCACTGAGCTGCATCACCAGCTTTTTTTATTCTTTGAAACAGAGTATTGATAAGTTGTTGAATCTGGCCTTGAACCTGTGATCCTCCTGCCTCAGTCTCATGAGTGGCTGGAATTATAGGTATATAGTCACTGTGCCTGGCTTAAAACATTTTTATAGTCTTGTGGGTGGGCAAGTGACAGGAGGGTCACCATTGAGCAGAGCATGAACACTTCATAAACATTAATGATAATATTATTTTGGGGGCCAGAATAGTCCCCATAAGAATTCCTCCTGTTTCCTGATAGGAAGCTTTTTGTGTTTTTGGAAGGATAGAGATCTGAAGCAGGTGGACTTGGCCTGAAAGTTTGAATCTGCTATTCCCTTGATCAAGTCACCTGGCCTCTCTCTACTTCCATTTCCCTACAGATAAAAGTGAGGGTCATGTTATGTGCACCATGCTAAGTATTTTACTTACATGATTCTATATTATTGTGTAAGGCTATTTAGTTGCCATTTTAAAGATAAGGAAATTAAGATTCTGAGAGGTTAAATAAGTTGCTCAAAAATCACACAACTGACTGCCGGGTGCAGTGGGGCACCCCTGTAATCCCAGCAACCAGGGTGACTGAGGCAGAAGGATCCCAAGTTTAAGGCCAGTCTCAGCAACTTAATGAGACTCTGTCTTAAATTAAAAAATAAAAAAGGTTTTATAAATAAAAAGTTGTAAAAAAATAAAAGGGTTGTAGCTCAGTGGTAGAATTTCCTTGGGTTTAACCCACAGTGCAAAAAGCAAACAAAAAAACCACACAACTCTTTTATGGCAAGGCTAATATTCGAACCTAGGTTTGCTTGGAAGCCCATTCCCTTATCTCTCTTTCTTTATTTTTTATTTTTTTAAATTATTTTTTAGTTATAGGTGGACATGATATCTTTATTTTTTTATGTGGTGCTGAGAATCAAACCCAGTGCCTCACGCACACCAGACGAGCGCTTTACCTCTGAGCCACAATCCCAGCCCCTCTCTTTCTTTATTTTTGTTATATATATATTTTAGTTGTAGTTGGACATAATACCTTTATTTTATTTATTTATTTTTATGTGGTGTTGAGGATCGAACCTAGTGCCTCACACGTGCTAGGCGAGTACTTTATGGCTGAGCCACAACCCCAGCCCCTCTTTCTTTATTTTTAAAAAATATTTTTAGTTGTAGATGGACACAATATTTTTATTTTATTCATTTATTTTTCTGTAGTGCTGAGAATCAAACCCAGTGCCTCACATGTGGTAGGCAAGCACTCTATGACCCCAGTCCCCCCTTATCTTTCTTTGATCTTTAGCCTTCTCATCTGTAAAATGGAAGTAGTATTAGTATATTAGTCAGCTTTCTGTCACTGTGATAAAATACCTGAGATAAATCAAGTTAAAGGAGGAAAGGTTTATTTGGCTCATGATTTCAGATGTTTCAGTCCATGGTCAGCTGGCTTCACTGCTTTTAGGCCTGTGGCAAGGCAGATGATCACGGTGGGGAAGATGTGGTGGAACAAAGCTGCTCACCTCTTGGCAGCTAGTAAAGAGAAGGTGGGAGAGGGAAGAGGCCAGGGACAAAATATGCCCATTAAGGAAAGACCCTCAGTGACCTAATTCCTTCAACTTGGCCCTGCCTCCTAAAGTTTCCACACTAGTACCCAGTGGTCTGTTAAGCTATGACTCCATCAATGGGTTAACTTATGGGTGAGATGAGAGCCCTTGTCACCAACCACCTTCCAAAGACTGCTCCTCTGGACATTCCTAGAGACCAAGCCTTCAACATATGAGCTTTGGGGGGACATTTCAGATTCAGACTATAGCCACTAGTTAATGCATTGTTCTTGGTGTTTTGTACAATAATTCCAAAGTAAGCCCTCTTATTAGGATCTTTTCAGTGAGAAAACAGAGAGGTAATCTATCTACCCCCAGACAGTCATACAGTTGGTCAAGCTATGGTATTCTCTATGTAACCATTAAGCTCTGTGGCCTCATGGGGCTGGTGTCAAATTATAATAATAATAGGTAACACTTATTGTACTTTTTTTTTTTTTGGTGCCAGGGATTAAACCCAGGAATGCTTAACTACTGAGCTACATCCCCATCCCTTTTTTTTTTTTAAGATGGACACAACACAATGCCTTTATTTTTTATTTGCTGAGGATCGAACCCAGGTCCTGCCTGTGCTAGGCCAGCCACAATCTCAGCCCCTCATCCCTTTTTAAAACTTTTTTTWAAATTTTGAGACAGAGTCTTGCTAAGTTGCTGAGGCCAGCTTTGAACTTGAGATCCTCCTGCCTCAGCCTTCTGAGCTGCTAGGATTACAGGTGTACACCACCATGCCTGGCTTTATTGGACTTTTACACAATTTATTACAAATATGGTAACTGAGGCATAGAAYATGGGCCCTTGCCCAAGTTCTCACAATTAAGAAATAGTGAAACTGAGAGGCAAACCAAAGTTCTTAACTATTACACTAAGTTGAAAAACATAATTGAGATAAGGTATGCAAATTAATTATACTATCTTCCACTTCTGATCACTTAGTATATGTCAGGCATTCATATACAATGTGTTGATTATTCGTTCTTTACAATAGCCCTAGGAAATAGGTGCTATTATTATTTCCATTTTGTAAATGGAGAAACTGAGGCACAGAAATTAAATCATTTGTCCAAAGTTCTCTACCTCGTAAACATCAAAACTGAGATGTCTCTGGACCATGCTCTTAATGCTATGTATTAAAGGCCTGGGTTTCATAAATTATCATGACTTTTGTTCCTCAGGAATGGGAGGAATGGGGGAATGAGGATGTAGCTCAGTGACAGAGTGTCCCAAAGTTCAATCCCCAGTACTGCAAAAATAATAAGCAAGTAAGTTCCCAGACTGTGTGAGAACACCCAGGGAAGCAGTGAAGAGTGAATTGGCTGTACCATTCTC